TAATTTTCTCGACGAGCCGCCACCATGTCTCTGATTGTGTCAGAGTGGCGCTTGGAAGGCGCAGGGACAATGCCGAAGGATGAGAACGGGAGGATTTTACTGATGGGGGATCTGCTTTATGAAGTTGGAGGCTTAATCAGGGTACCCCAGGGCGGAACAAGTGAGCGAAAGGAAAAAATTATTAATATTTTTAATTATTAAAATACACTTAACAACTGCTGATGATCATTATTGTAGATAGGCGTCAAAAGCTATTACAATCGTATCATAAAGTATAATATGCAAATCAAATTTTCCGTGCGCCCAATACTAGTTTCACTTACCTTCCCTGAACGCATCACTAGGAAACTGCTCGCTGTCTTGATTTCAAAATAATGCAGCTCGTATGCGTCAGATGTGACAAACAATTGGATTTCCTGAAATCTGACGATGGGTAAATCTTTTGGTCCCGCCGTCCAGGGCAGGTGGTGCGATCTATGAGTGACTTTGTGACCTAGTTGAAAGTAGGGTGACAATCGATTTGAAAGAGCTTTGCTACAAAAAATTAGTATTGACCAAATGAGAATAAATTCGTGCGGTTTTTTGAGCGTTGATTAGACCATCTCCGCGGCGAGAAGTTTGAGATGTATGCATTGATTTTTTTTCTAAAATGGACTTCAAAAACCAGAGAAAACTAAGCAGTTCGGAAGGCGTGCGATAAATTTGATTTAATTTGGCGGCCCATTGTACCAAAACCGCTTCTCAGCGAATTCATCTAAAAATAGGTCCGTTTGATATCCAAAACGAAACATTTCTAAGCTGTGAGTTTTCACTCATAGTTTATAGCGACTAACGTGTTAAGAACTAAGGCGTTTTCTTATTGAAGTTTTGAATAAATGTTAACCTGTTTTTGATTCATGTGAACATAATCAATATTGTTAAAATTCTTCCCTAACTGATGTTCCACTCTTTCTTCGACAACATTGAATTAGTATTTTATATTACTACATATTCTGGGTAATTATTCAAAGTGTTTTTCCATCCAAACATTTTTTAGGCTTCTTAGAAATAGTTTAATTTGAAATTCTTCATCGACAGACTTGAAGCTGGGGCTGTGCTTGTTACGGCCGAAACGACAGTCGGACCACACCACGACACCTGTGGAAGCAGGTCTCACCTGCGTCATCGCGTGAGGAAACATTTGATAATTTCCTCATGCGCCGGAACTATAAGCGCCGCTTGCCACCGCCGCGACGAAGCGCGCGGACGGTCAATCATCAAGTCTCGTTCGCCGACCCTCGGCGACGGACGGACAAAGGGACCGCAGGCAGGTACCTGCTTCGTTCCTTTGTCCGTCGTTCGCGCGAAGAGCCTGATATTTGGACGTTCGCGCGCTTCTGCTGTCGCGCGTGGGCAAGCGTCGTGGCCTAAGCGATATCGTCTCGCCCGGTGCGCGAACTCGCGTGAGGAGGACTCATTGTTTGCAGGCAAACGGCGGCGCGAGCAGCAGACTTCCGGGGCAGCCGGTGGCGTGCTGCGCCAGCTTGCGCGAGGGGCCCAAGAGGTCGCGCGTGGGGCTGCGCGCCGTGGCGGGGGGCCGCCCTTCTGCGCGGGGCGCGCGCCTTTTTGCCGAGGAGGAGGGGCGCGCGGGGAGCAGAGGAACCGGAGCCCCGGGACGCCGTCCACCTCCGGCTGCCCGAAGCCCCACGTTGGGCGCCAATATGCGATGGGTACGTTCGCGCCGACCTCGCCCGCCCCGGCAACGCGCCCTGCGCGCGGAGCGTGCGCGCGAAGGCGGTGCTCTCGATGCCGCCGAGGTGGTGACAGATGCCCTTCGTATATAGCCACGCGATACTACAAAGATGCCCAACGCCCAGAATCAGCAGGCGGCCACCACACCTTCATTCGAACTCTGCCCATTTTCAATTCGAAAGCGTATTTTCGATTGAAGAGCCATGTGGCGGAAAAAAACATCATAAAGAGTTCACGGAGAAAGATTTTTTACGATCAAAACAGGTGTGGCATATGGTTTTGTTTACATATCAAGGGTCAAACACTTGACAGTAATTGACTACCCCTGGGAAGGTTGGAAGAAGCTTTCAATTGGGAATTCAATAACTATTCGTTATGGAGTCACCAACAATGATCTGCAGTTGCTTTATTACTTGAAAATAAGATTGGTAAACCTATTATAGGAACGGTTCTCATAACGTGAATGAGCTATGACGAATGTATAGTCAAATGATTATCAAAAACAATTGTTCAATGCCAATTATTTTATCAAAAAACTTTTCTTATAAAATAATACCTAGGTATTTTGTCATTATCAATACGAACTGACTTTATTTGAAACTTGAATTTCTTTAGTTCCATTGTGAATGGAACGTCATGATTGACAAAGGTGTTTGTCAAACTAAATACTAGTGTCATACCTAATGATACAATTTTTGTACCCGGTAATGACATTACAAATTATGTACCTATGTACCATATTTCAGCTGCGCCAAAAAGGCGCATAGTAAGCGGCCTCAATAACAGCGCCCATTTCTTCTCCCAATATTTGTCCTCTCGGCCAATTCTATTTGGAAACATTGGCCAAATGGACAAATTCGTCCTTTAGATCCTCTGTTAATGTAAGAAGTGTTCTTAAGTGCGTGTGTGGTCTGTGTGTGTGTGTGTGGTGTGTTGTGTGTGTATTATGTATATATAAAAAGCTTATTCTGGTAGCTATAAACTCACGAAGCTTGCCGTCTCCGCTGGTGCAAAGCCACCTCCTTTTCAAATGACACAAATGTACCAGAGTAAGTATCTTGTCTTGCTGTTCTGGATGGAAGAGTATTTTGTCAATTCTTTAGTTATCTAATTTAGATCACTATCCTTCTTCCTTGCTATCCAGATACCAAATATCACTTGCTGACCTTAAATGCTATGGCTAAATACCATATTAATCGATTTTTCGTTTCAAGAAACCCTTAAAAACATGGATTCTGGCTACGTCTCTTAAAGGGAATTTTTTTAAAGTTTAGCAACTGAATTTAATCGACTTGTTCGTTACCCAGGGTCTCTGAAAAAAGTTTTTCTGCCGAAAATTTGTGTTTCTTCCGGCTTCAGCAAACATGACCTTTCTCTTCTTAAAAAAGTTCCTTTTAATCGCGAAGAAAGCAAAAAAAAAAAACAAAAAACAAAAGCTAAATAATGTTGAAAGTTTCAAACGCGATATTTTAATTTTTGGCAGTACTTCACATTAACCCTTAAAAACATTTTAAAATTTTTTCATAAAACTCCACAAAATTTTTGACCAAACTTTTGTCTTTAATAGAGTAACGCTTTAAAAGCAATGAGTGGTGGTACCATGTTCGGTTAAAAAACAGATATTTGAAATTAAGCGCAATTGTTTGGGCATTATTCCTACACTAATAATATTGAAGATAAGATTTTTTCGTTAGGTGAAAACTATTCAAATTTTCGAAATATGAGTATGTGTCCATAAATTTGACGTGTTCAATTTCGCGATAATATAGGAATGTTTTTTCTAAAAAAAAAACAGAATTTTTCTGTAAATTTTGCGTCATATGTAATATGGAACTATAAAAAAATGGTGTTAGTCCCATTTTCGAAAAATGCCTAACGTGAAATCTGCGAACACGAAATGGAGATGCGGCTTTACGTTATAAACAAAGCTTTTTTGTAATCAATAACAGACTTCTTTAAAAAAGGTGTACGCTACAATGATTTTGGGACAAATTAGGTGATTTTCCGTATTGAATACCTAAATTTAATAGCAATGTTCTAAAATATATCATTTTTCTCATAACTTCGAGCATTATTTTTTTCCTTATTACTTTTATATAGTATATACTTTCAGCTCTTTCGACGTTG